AAATAAGGAAGATCCTCATTCGGGTCTTCTAATAGGTGTAGTCCGTCCCATTGAATATAGGTGGACGCGTAATAGAATGGCCCTCTTGGTTTCCGGCGTATGCCATCTCTCTTGGGTTTTAATCCGTTTGAGAGTTAACCCCGCTCTGATACCAATTGTTAGGATCAAGAGCACTAAGAGGGGGGGGGGGTGAATTAGTGCAGTAGAAAACTTTCGACGATTAAAACTACGTTCATACGATAAGAGCAATTTCGGTAGAAAAGCCGATTCGTAAATCACTTTAACTTGTGATCAAGCAAGATGCAGTTAAAGCGAATCTATAATGGCAATTTGTAATTATGATAGAAATCAGAATGTTAGCGCAAACTGAAATATGATGTTCGTACGATAAAACTGATTTACGTCTAAACACCGATTTGGAAAATACTAAACTTTGAAACACGATCGTAAATTTACAAAAGGAAGTAAGCTATTGAGGAGGTTTGTGGTAAAGATAATATGTTCAAAGTAAATGCAAACCAGAGAGCGTCGTGATTTTAGAGTGGTTCGGTCAATCTTGACCTACATCCACTTCTGGCTTCCTCCACCGATGAGGTCACCGACGTCCACAAGAGGCCTTCCTTCAATAGGCGAAGGCCAACCACCCTTTTACAGTTTCACTCCTTTTGACGGGCTTAGGAGACAACCCTTACAAAATTTTCTCTCCTCTCTTGAAAGATTAGAACTTGGAAGAAAAGAGGGAGAAGAAATTTTAACTCATACAACACTTTTGAGCTCTAAAAATCACATAGTAAGATCAGGATTTCGGTGGTTTTGGTTGCTCTTTCATTGCTGAAAGAGTGGGGTATTTATAGGCCCCAAACCAGTTTGAATTCCGAGCTCAAAACTATCAATTCTCGAAATTCTGGGGTCTGACGGTTGCACCACCTAGTAGAGCTCGGAGATTGAGCCTCTAGGCAGTGCCACCGCTTGTTAAGGGCGGTTGCACCTCCTGCCAGAGCTCGGAGACCGAGCTCAGGTGGTGCCACTGCTTGACTGGGGCGGTTGCACCTCTGTCAAAGGCGGTTGCATCGCCCAGCCAGAGCTCGGAGACTGAGCGTCGGGCGGTGCCACCGCCGACCCAGGCGGTGCCACCTCTGGCCAAGAAATCTGGGTCCGAATGGGCTGATCCATTCGGCCCAATTTGGGTATGTCAAGGGCCCAATTGCCCCAAGATTAAGTTAATGGGATCACCTCCCATTTCTAACTTAATCATCGTGTTAACTACGAATTTCTTAAGACATTTACTACAGCTTGCTTCCGGTGCGTCAATCACTTCTTCCGGCGAGCTTCCGTTGATCATCCGATGAACCCTCGGTGATGCTCCTGCGGACTTCCGGTAAACTCCTGGACTTGCGACGATCCACTTGGCGAGTTCCGACGAGCTTCTTTTGGCAAGCTCCTGGACTTCTCGGTTTTATTCCCACAGAACCTCCGACGACCGTCCGGACTTCCGTCGAGCTCTCGAACTCCCAACGTGATCATAGTCTTGACTCCGGCATAACTCCTACTGTATGTCTTACTTTTATCGTAGTTAATCATGTACACTTATCTCAATATATAGATTAGATAACAAATGACAATTGACGTCATCATCGAAATCCGAGATTCAAAAGAAATATGTGATGAGAGTCCAATCAATATTTCAAATGTGAATTAAGATTTGATGGAATGGACATTTTAAATATAACTTGACGTTTAATAAAATTTTTTCAAATCATATTTAGTTATGTTGCGTCATAAATACTCAAATATTGATACCGATAGCATTAGTATTTTAGCATTTGCTGTAAAATGTTAAAAACATTTTTAAATTTTTTTAAAGTACCATATGACTTTCTCTACAATCACAAAACTATTTCTATATAATAGAAATTCCAACCCTAATCTCCATTTCCCTTCTCCTCAAAGCAACATGATTTATGGATGTCATCTCATATATAATTTTATTTATTTATTTTAAAAATAATTTTAATTTATTTATATGATTATATATTTTTATTTGTTATATATTTGAGCCATACAAATTTTTTTGTAAAATTATATATATATATATACTTATTAATTTAAATTTAAAAATATGTAATCACTTTTGAATGAATATTACAAATATTATAAGTGTAAATTTATCATATAATATAAAATTTTAAAATATAAAATTTTTCAAGTAATACTTACGTGAATTTAAAATATAGTTTTGATTTATTATTTACTAGACATTCAATACATTTTACAACTGAACATTCATTTATTTTTAAAAAAATATACATAAAAAATATAAATATATTTTTAAATTTATATTAATTATTATGTCCTCTCTCTCGCACATATGAAAAATATCAAAATGGGATAGAGCTAGTGGATATAGAGATAACTCTATCGAAACATAGCCCAACAAACCTTGACTCCCTTTTTCTCTAACTTGACAACCCAATCCCATCATAAGTACATCTCATTCAGAGAGCATCCTTCCCCGAATTCAATCGATATGTTTCGAGTTATATTATTTCAATCTAGAGTGAGAATAAAAAGAAAAAGAAAGGAAAAAAAAAGCAGCCCACGTGCTGCGCAGAACCCAATCATCGTCCCGAAATGCCCCCCTTCATCGATAAATACTCCACTCCATCGCATCACAAGTCCTCTCATCCATTTGCTCGATCGGTTGGTCGGTTTGGCTGCGCCTGTCATTCCAGCTAAGTGTCTATTCTCTTATCTACTCTCCTTATTACTTATGCTCTGTGTCCGTTCGTCCGTCCCTGTACAATACTTCTCTTTATTTCTGGTCGATCTCTGGCTGTGATTCAAGATCTGATCCTTCGCAACTAGTTTGGTTTTGGGGCTGTCGTCGAATCCCAGTGTCGAAATCTGATCTTTTGTTTTTGATCTTTCTTCTTGTCGGGAATTGATTTGGTAAATCTGGTACCATCCTCGATAAACTACCTTTCTTTGCTCACAGACAAAAGGTTTCTTTGGAAGAAATTAAAGATTGTTGATGAACTTAATGTACTTGTCTCTGATTCTGTGGAGAATCAGCTCCAGGCCTTTATGAATCTCGCTACTCTGAGCGTCTGCTTCCTCCATTCCTTCTCCCTCGTGTTCCTCTACTGGTTTTATGTGATCTCATGAACTAAATCTCATTGCTTGATCCATTCGTTCCCCAAAAAGGGGATCTTTCCGTCCAATCCGATTTTGACTAGCTTAGAATCAGGGAATCACCCTGCAAAAGAGTATGTCTTCCTTTCCAGTCCGCCAAGCTTCGAGTTTGGAAGGAGATCCGCAGCTGGTGATAGATGAGAGGAAGAGAAAGAGAATGCTCTCGAACAGAGAATCTGCGAGGAGGTCTAGGATTAGGAAGCAGCAGCACTTGGATGATCTAATAAACCAGGAGGCACAGCTCAAGAACCAAAATGGTAAGATTGCAATGCAAATCAATCTGGAGACACAGAAGCACACGAAAGTGGAGGCCGAGAATGCCATCCTAAGGGCTCAGGTGAGCGAATTGACTGCGAGGCTGCGCTCGGTGAACTCAGTGCTCCATTTCTTTGAGGGGGTCAGTGGGATGACCATAGACACACCAAAGATGGCGGACCCTCTCCTGAAACCATGGCAGCTTCCTTCTGCAGCACAGCCAATAATGGCAAATGCTGACATCTACCAGGCTTGTGTCTCCATTGATTAGTCTATCAGTTCCATGGTATGATGCTTATGTATTTATTTTGTTGAGTTGTATGTCAATTAGCATGTTTTATGTGTTTGGGTCAGTCTCTGATATGATGTGTGCACTTGCTATAACATTACCCCTCAGTAAATGTTGCATTAGCTATTTGAAATGTCTTGCTTGATTACACCAAATTTGCACATTTATCAAAATTCTCCGAAGATATTATACCAGTGGCATCTGAATATGTTCCATTGGATGGTAGATCTTATATTGTGATTTAATATCTCAGTGGATGGTATCATAGCAGCACAGGCATGTTGCTACTGAATGTAATTGTTCCTGTTTTGCTTCAGTTCCATGTTGTTGTTATTGTTGTTATCTCTTCAAGGTTTGTGCTTTCTCATTTGCATTACATGCATTTGATGTGCACCCTCTCTGGAAATATCCATAGAAAATGATCTGATAATTTATTCTGATCTAGTAACAGATGTCTTGATTCTTTGCTAGATAGCTTGAATTATATTCTGTCTTCTGCTTCAAGAACAAACATTCATTTGCCAGGTACTAGCCAAATTCCCCAACATAAACACCTCATTGTGCTGCTCAAATAGTTTTGCCTGATACCTTTTTTACATCCAATCGAATGTCATTTCTAATCCAAATTTTAGTCACAAACATAACCATATCTTTAATGTCATCATATAATACCGAAGAGAGTGGTCATGATTTTTTGTTCTTATGCAAAAAGGCAAGATATTCCTTTATCACTTTCAAAAGATCAGATCAATTCTCTCTAATGAGCTTTGGATAGTTTGACAACTATATCTGTAAGATGTCAGTTTTAACTCTGGATATGGAGACATGTATATAGACTGGTCATTTGACTTTGTTCAAGCCTTGCAATGGTTCATTGGTTTAGGATGCTTTCCTTGGATGTCCGTCTGGAATTGGTCTTCTGTTCATTTTCCAATTCATTCAGTAAGCACAGAAGAAACTTTTTGATACTGTCACCAATGATCTCTATGCAGATTAATTCTGAACCTAATCTGCCAGAAAACAGAGGAGACTATTGTCTCTCTTATATTGTAAATGGCTATCACTTCTTGTGCATCCATGGATATTCCCTTATCAATATCTAATCCTGACGAGTCTCTACATACTAACGTCAAAACTCAATCTTCTCTTCTGCTATTTAGCTGTCTTCTTTATCTGAAATCAAGTCCCGATACCTGAATCTGTTGAGAGTTTAACTTCAACTCACCTGCTAAAACAAATGAAATGGACCAATTATATTATTAAAATGACACCCCTGCACACTGCTTGTTACTCTGCAGATAGAGGAAAGGAGAAAGATAAAGAGAGGATGGAGCAAAATCTGAAGAAGCAGGAGGCTAAAGAGGAGTAAGAAGAAGAAGGTATTATTCCTCCAGTTGCATGGTAACAACACTTCCACTAGGAGACTTGCATGGGAATCTATTAGAAATGCCCATTGGGAAACCTTTTCCATCGTAGATTCACTAGATGGAGTTCCATGATCTTGTTATATGAGACATCTCAATTACTAAGGAAATTTTGAAATATAACTGAGAAATGATGTATCACTTGGAGACTAATACCAGGGAGAAGAAGCTGATAAGAGAGGCAGTAGGGTTGCACAAAGACATGTATGTCTTCATGATAATAATAGAGGCTTTCTGGTAAGACAGATTCCAACTCATCCTATCGTTTATACTAAAGAAATGAAAGTGACTCCTAATAAGGTCACAACTACTAAGGAACAAGAGATGAGGATTCAGTGTCTCAAGATATTTGGGCAACATCTAAAGATACAATCCAACTCTTTATATGTTTGAGAAAACCATGGACTTAACAATAAAGATAAGCTCCCTCAACATTTACATGAAATCAACTGTCAAGAAGTTGTCCAAGTCAAATTTAGGACCTATGTGATTAGCGATCTACATATTGTGCTGTGCTTTAACGTCAACAGTATGAAATTCGAAACTAAATAAAGAATAAAATAAAATGACAAAAATTAATATATTAGTCAATAAGGTGGATTTTAGGGATGGGAATTTGTTATGACCAAACAAACTTTTTTGAAGTCAAAAAGTCATTTGAGAGGGTTGACCCTTATCTTTGATTCGGTAGGTAAATATGAAGGTTCCTTTTTTTAGCATAGATGATATTTCTCCTTGAAGATTCTACCATATCTAGAGCCTAATTTTATAATGGATCCTGTATTATTTTTGTTGTTCATTTGTTGGATCTCACTTTTAATTGAAAGACAAACGGAGCCCAACTTGACATGACAATAGAATCAGATTCTAATTAGCATAAAAGACGATAACATGATATTTCTTATACTGAATCGTATCCAGATCAGTCAAAATCATACTTAGTCAAATTGGACTTCAGCCAAGACCGACTAGGGCTACTCCACTTAATAGGATTAGTTCTCTTTGGCAAGGGTGTCTAAGTTCTACTAAAATTTGGAATTTATATATTTTTATTTTACAGGGAGACAAGATTACTTAGTTTCTTAGGAATAGGAAAAGGGAGAGATGAAACCACGTAAGTGATGGCTTTTTTTAAGCTCTAAAGATATTCCATGATATCATAATTAAAGGTTATGAGAACTATCTCCTATTTAGTTCTCTCTAACCCTCTTTTTTTTTTCCCCCCTCTTATTATTCTATCTTATTTTTTTTCTTCTACATCTTTTCCCTTATCTCTGATTTGTCTAGTGAGATTAAAAAAAAACATGTGTTTAGTATGCATGATCTTATCGTAATCTATGTATATATGTAGTCAAATAAAAAAAAAAGCTTCATGTGTCGTACTTTTTAATGGCAGAAATAGCTTTAAAGCCTAAAATCTTAATCTAGTTACTAACATATGATCAACAATTCTCAGTTCAAAATTATAGTATGAAATAGTTACCTAATATATATTTTTTTAAAAGCGTAAGTGATAAAGATGAGATATGAATCCAATCAGAATCTTATAATAAATTATCAAAATCTTTATTAACGAGTTAGTTGATATCTTCATAATTATCTAACTTAAAACCATGATGCATTATTGAGCCGTTAAGATTGACAAAATTTTTAGGTATAATTTGAACAAGCACTAAACGATTGACTCAAGAACGATGGCGTGTACTAAATAAACTTCCAACTAAGTGTTTGATGTTGATTTATCTCTTTGGACAAAGGTGACATTTACGAAGAGGAACTACAATGCCGTGTTCTTAAGGTGCACATTTTCAATCTATTGGATTTATTCATCTTTGATGTTGTGAGTAAAGCAATAACACCGTAGTTTTAGTATTGTATCAAGAGTGGACAAGGATTTAAATTGGTTTATATTGTCACATATTTTGATTATCTGATTGACAGATGATTGTGATCTAATTATGATCCTTTTCCGAGATGTTACAAGATGATCAAAAGCGAGATCATCAAATCCTTACACTAAGACCCTACAAAACTGCATCAAGGGCAAACTCAATAAAGATCCTCTAATACTTAAGTTGGCAATAGGATTTAGAATATTAGTTAAAGCTGAATTTAAGGAGAAATCAAGTAGGAGATGGATTCTTATGACCATATACTTGGGTGTTTATAGTCAATTGTAAGAATTGAGAGAGTGTATACGAAAATGGGGATTACAAATTCGAAGTAAGTGATGATCCGATTTATTTGGATATTATTATACATTTAATTATACATCAAATTTAAATGTTTTAGAGTTATTTAATAATTTTTTCATCAATACAAGTGTCCTCCTTTAATATGATATCAAACCGTCTATCACGTGTTACTGTAGTGTCGATCACATATAGCTAAGGTGTCAATCACACGTAACTAAGGTATCGATAGTCTACCAAGTGTCATTTTCCTATATCAATTTATAAAAATAATCAAATCTAAAATGGAAATTCAAGGCCTCATAAGTATTTTGAGATATTTAATTTAATTTTTATATTCTTTGTTTCTTAATTTTTTATGATTTTAACTCTCGAGCTAATAGTTGGTTGCATTTGTATATAATCCTCTTTTTCTTGCCAATGGAATGAAGAAAGTGTGATTGGCTAAGACAAGCTACTCCCTTCAATAAAGAAGATAGGGGGTGGGTGTCCTAAGTTATACTAAATAAGAAGTTTTCACAAAACCATTATAATGCTAGTCACAAAGGTAAAAGAAAATTGAATATTCTGTGTGATTTTCTATCATGAGGAGGTTAACTATGAGTTTTGACAAGCTAGAGCATAATGGGTTGCAATTATAGATTAGACCAGAATGCAAGGGTTTCGAATGAGTCGGCATTAATTTTGTGTGAATTAGTGCAGTGATAAAAACATCGGTTTTGAAAAATTCTTCGTACGTTAAAAACTGATTTTGGAAAATGTTAACTTGAAAGCGTATTCGTAAATGTATAGAAAGCAGTAAGCAAGTAAGGAGGTTTGTAGTAAGATAAATTGCACAAAAGAAAAGGCAAACCAGATTTATATAGTGGTTCAGTCATCGTGACCTACATCCACTCCGTCGATTCCTCTTCCGTCGAGGCCACTGGCATCTACTATCGATCTTCCTTTAATAGGCGAAGATCAACCTTCTTCTTACTATTGAATCTCAGATTTTGATGATGAAACTAATTGACTGTGTTTAGATGTTTAAAAGCATTTTGAGTGATGCAGGTCTACTCAATCAGGATTAGATAGTTGACGCAGGAGGAATTGACGTTGCGCCGGAGGATATCACGTCAGAATATTGGACGGTAGAAGGCTTCGGTCGTCGGGCATCGGGCCAAGGAGAGCGGAATTGCGCCAAGGATATCGGGGTTGCGGGAGGTCGACCGCCGATTGGGCAACAAGCCGTAAGAGAGGACGATGCGCTGAAGAATCGGACGAAGCGCCAACCAATGACGTGCCAGGCAACAGAATGTCAATTCGCATTGTAATAATTGTCTAGATCAGAGTAGAGTTTTAGCTTGTTTGTGCAGGATTAACTACGATAACGACGAAGACATAAAGCAAAACAAAGTATTGGAGTCAAGCGCGAAGGATTCGTTGCGAGTTCGAGAGTTTGACGGAAGTCCGAAGGTTCGTCAGGAATGCTGCCGGAACTAGCCGAGAATGAGTAGGGAGCTTGCCGAACGGTTTTT